GGCTAAACTGACCAATCACGTTTAACGGACCAGACTTATAACATCATCGACTGACAAACACTATTCACTTGACTCTGAAGATGACTTGCGCTCAGGTCGTCGAAATGTAAGTCACCAACAACGGTTCTTTTCAGAACTACTCTCACCCGAACGATCACACTATACGAACTAATGTCAAATTAAAGTTGGTAATGAAAGCTGATGAACTTGAACTCTGAATAGCTTCGCTAACAACCTAGAACATTATTACAGTACAGGGGAACCGTTGAAAGTCAGTTGTTGACAAACATTGTCCAATTGTTATAAACCTTTATTAAGCGGATACCCTCTATTAAGCGAACACTTGGAAAGATCCCGAGGTTGTCCGCTTGATAGAGGTTTCACTGTTTTTACATAGATGTGCTAAAGTAGTAGTAGATTTATAACTGACAATACAGTCTAAGTCTGGTGAATGTCTCTGGATGACCAGCTTGATGTTAGTGGTTCTGAGTTAAACCATTTATTCAAACTTGAAATGAACAGCAATCTCTTCGACGCATTACAACCCTAAAAACTAGTAAACAACATCTCCACATGGTCACAAAACATTCGCTAAGTGTTCAAAGTGACATGACCGAAGTGTTCACACTTTTTGAGTACACTATAACAAAATGTCGTTCATATCAGTTAGCATGACTACAGTTAAAAAATTCTTAAAAAATTTAAAAAGTGACAAAAAATATTGGGTTGCAATCTACGATCTACCCTCTAAGCCCATCTGCTTGGAAGGTTATTGGAATTTTTTAATGTTCTTTTCAGTTTTTTAATTTTTTAACGAAGACTAGTGAGCAGCACAAAGCAAGACTTCTTGTAGTTGTAAGCTTTTTCGTTTATTTCTGACGCATTTCGTCTCTGTCTGAGACTTCTTTAGGGAATGATAACAACTAACACTGAACAGCATATATAGCACATAAGTGTGCCTATGTTTAACTTCCAATGCAAGCAAATAACTGCTGAAACATGCTGTAAATGGACATTACAAGAAATACCTTAATGCATATGTTATTGCGTGTTGTTATATTTTGGGGGCCATACCATTAGCACTAATCGTATGGCCCCCCCAAAAACATACTACTTACATCGATATGCTAAAGTAGTAGTAGATTTAGAACTGACAATACAGTCTGTTAAATGTAAATACAGTCTGGTAAATGTCTGTATAGAATACAGTCTGGTAAATGTCTCTGGATAACCAGCTTGATGTTAGTGGTTCTGAATTAAACCATTTATTCAAACTTAAAATGAACAGAAATCCCTTCGACGAATTACAACCCTAAAAACTAGTAAACAACATCTCCATATGGTTGCAAAACATTCACTAAACGTTCAAAGTCAGGTGACCTAAGTATTTGCACTTTTTGAGTACACTATAACAAAATGTCCTTCACATCAGCATGACTACACTTAAATGTACTACCATTCTACCGTTGCACAATTTACGTTTTAGCGAAAGCCAGTTAGTTCTGTTACTGTATTTAACCTCCCTGAATAAAGGAAGTAAAAACCCAACTGGGACTCCTGGACACATCATAATAATAATAATTTGCAAAAAACAAAACAAAGTGAACCCAGTATCTAATTCAGACCCAACTGACTAAAATGTACTGTTCCTACACTGATGAAAATAATTATAAACCAACAAAAAGCCAAAGGCCTATCTCTGTCTCAATCTGTAAACTCTCGATTCACAGGTTGCTTAGCATGTGACCAACATCTTCCCACTGTCAGTGATAAAATCTACAGAATGATTTATTTGCAGACAAAAAGACTTCAACAGGGTTTAGAATTTTTATGACTTACACTTTAGAACTTAATATTAGTCACATCATTAAGAAACTTCCTGAGACCTCTTGTGTAACAGTAGCTGTATAGATAGTAAAGTTGACAATTTGTTTGTTTGTCAGAACGGGTGAGAATCAACTTCTTCTTTGGCTATATTTATTTACATTTTGATTGGATATAAATACTTTGTAGAACATGTAAACAGCAGCTCTTGCCGATCAAAGAATTCAAAGTTTCATCTAACTCACATCCTTTCAGTACTTATTCTTTGGCCGTTCAAACAGCTGCCATCATCTGTTCGAAACAATTCTTAGGCCATTCGAATAGTACAGTGTAGCTGCCAGTAATCATCTGAACTAACAGGCGTACATTTCATAATTTGGGTTGGTCCAAATGCGAATTAAGTTCCGCTCATGAAAAGTCCCTTGTCCCAACTGAGCTTTGGAGTTTAAATTGTCAAGAGATAAGAATTTGTTGCTTTAATATTTCTTACACTTTCTTTCGTAAGTGCCAGTGCTGGAAAAATGTAAATACAACCGTTCCTGTCCCCTTGGTGAGTACCGTCTTGATACAGATCTTCGTGTGCTAAGATGGCAGCACAAAGAAGTTCTTGTGGGTTAAAAATCCTACTGCAAAAAATCAATTGGTCGCTTTCTTGTGATTATCGATTCTGATCAATTCTGATTGATTTTGGTAATTAGCTATCAATTTTATCAACAATTATTATTGAGCTGAAATGGAAGGAGATCGTGTGGATACATTCACTGTAATAAACTGTTCAGGCTAATCCTTTTGATTATCGATTTGCATCAACTACATAAAAATTGTGATTATCGATTTCAATCCATTAAAATGACTAATCAATCGAAAAATATCAAGTATTGTCGAGGATTATTGATAAATCGATTAGCTTTCCAATGATTGATTTCCATCGATCAGATACACACCATATAAACGGACCATGTCTTCCGTCTGTGTTTTACACTGTTGAGGACCTGAAAGCTTTACCGGCATAAAGCTGGTTCCAAACACTGCTCTATTCATGTGCTGAACCTAAAGTTCTGATGAGTTAAGTACAGTAGAAGAGCAGCGTTTGAACTGTTTGGTTTGGCAGGTGAGGTTTGGAGCAGCAAACAACATTAAATTTGTCAGGGTCTGTCACACTATGCAACGTTGGAGCGGTGGTTGATTTACATGGTGTTCTCCTCATGTGCTGAATGTAATGCATAAATTATCGTAATGTACATATTTTTGAAATGGGGCACTCGTGATTGGCTCAAAATTGAGTGGCATGAACAGTCATGCAAGAAGCTTGAAGTCGTCACTAAAAATAAAGGAAACAAAAAATCTATCCCGTTTCAGAGCTCAGCTTTATACCTTTGATTTATGAGAAACGGGAACTGTATAATCAAGTTTCTTTCACGCAAATTCATTTTTTGCAGTTTCTTGGAGATAACAGCCCAGCTTATGAGATTGCTCATTAACAGGTCGAGTTTAGAGTTTACCAGTAGAAGACCTTTCTAAATATATACAAACAACCTTTCGATTGCATTTGCTTTCGCTGTACACTGTTACAACAGCGAAATATTAGCCACAGCTTTCTAAACTGGACATAGTTCTGGAATTCAGAACGCATATTTTCTTATCGAAAATTGTTTACCACGGGCTTTCCAAATTAAGTTCGACGCAAGAACTCCGTCTGAATCAGCCGTCGCTCCAAAGTCGAACTAAATCAAGTTTGGTTCGGCACATGAGTGGAGCCGAGTTTGGACCGGGCCTGTCATGGTAAGATGCTTACGTCTTTTCTGGCCGAGTACTGGGCAACGTGAATTAACTTGGAAACAACTATCACTCGCTTATACCTTTGGGTTCCTTCCTCGTCAGTGCACGAAACCTGCCATTTACAATCCTCTCTGTCCACGCATAGTTAGTAACTATGGTCCATGTGACACTTTCCTCCCGTTATGCCCGGCTACAAAGCCTTGGAGTAACTGTGTCATATATCGTGCACCAGGAGTCCCACGATGGACTATGATATTCTATAGTTATGGTTATTCTGAAAGGAAACGACATGATGCATATTTTAAAAGAGCAATTTTCACTGTGCTTGTCAAGTAAACTATACAAATTTGTTTTATTGTTAGCTATACTTCGATAGCTGTAAGTAGAAATCCAAGATCGATTGGTTTTTGATCCAAGTTTGACGATTGGTGCAGAATACATGACGCCTCCTTGTATTCTCTGGATGTGAGTGTCAGTTATGTCTGGAGGACGTGTGAAGTATGTGTGCGACCAAGATAAGTCAGTCTTGGTGAACAATTTCGAGAAACGCGGATGGGTTCCTTGTGCTGAAGATGAGGACTGGAATTTTTACTGGTTAGCCACAGTTTGCTACCACTACTGTATGTTGTAATCTTAAGTCTGCATAATCGCCCCATGTAAAGGAATCCAAGAGGGTCTTGGATTCCGGATTCCACATCGTGGATTCCGGATTCTGGTGACTGGATTCCGGATTCCATGCCTATGGATTCCGGATTCCAGACGTTCCGAGATTCCGGATTCCAAAGGTTTTAACTCTGATGTTCATTCGTACTGCGATAGCAGATTCTGCTATAAAGTACAAATTGAGTAAAAAAGAAAATACCATTTTCTTTTCAATATATCAAAATGTGTTAATATCCTTAAACTGGAGTTCATACGGCATCAATTAAATTAACTTTTGATAAAATAATTAACTTGTTGGGGTACCTGTTAAGAAGAGGCGTCTCTGAAGTCCACTGAGTAATCCACAGCGTTGAAGCTATCTGACGAACTGTTCTCATCAAAACGATTATATCGTCAACAGAACCAAAAGTAGTAGGAATTGAAGTTTGGTGCTTTGAATGTTCAAATNGCATGAGAGTCTCCTCATTGGCTGAGGGAATGGAGCCATCCTGGTTTGCACGACCGTCCTGGTGGCAAAAGTCTATAAATTGACATTGGGCAGATTGGTACACTCATCAGGTGGAAGTTGCAAGACCTTGGGTAAGTAGGAACTGACACTTCTGAGTCAAGGCATCTCAAGCACTGCCAGAAAGGAGGTAGGAATCTGGGACAGGGTCAGGTGGGCATGTGGCTCCAGGTGTCTGAACCGCCAAAATTGGAATCAAGAGAGTACATCAGCAATTGGATTAGCTTTACCTAGAACTGATGAAGCTGTAAACAAAAATGAATGACGGATGGCCAGCATAGTCAAATAATGTAGCAACACCATTAGGCTTTTGTCCTGCGAGGTGCCAGACTTAAAGTACAGCCATCATGGACTCACTGTCACATAAGAACTCAACTCGCTGAGACACCCACTGAGGGCCCCACAGATAGGCTGCTACCACAATTGGGAAGAGTTCCTTATAAGCTATAGATAACGAACTTTGTGCAACTGACCAGGCACTGGAAAACCAGTGGGATTTAAAAATAGCTCCATAGCCCAAAGAGCCAGCTGCCTCCGACAAAACCTGGAAGTCCAGGAGAGGGGCCCATGTGGGCATACAGAAAAAACTGAGGCCATCCCAAGTTTGGAACAGCTCCCGCCACCAGGTTAAATCCTGCCGAAATTCTTGGTTAAGCCTATTGGGATGATCATCATGGCGAAAGACACAAAGCAAGTTGATCATCCAGCAAAGGAATGTCCTACCCTGTGGGGCGACCTTGCAGGTGTGATGGAGGTGGCCGATCAGGGATTCCAGCTCGTGACATTTACAAAAACTTGCTGCAGACCACTCATCTAACAGTGTAATAATCCTATCTCTCTTGTCAGCCAGGAGACGAGCCTGAAGTTTTTCAAAGTCAAGTTCAATCCCAAGGATTGTAAGACAAGTCGCAGGTCCCTCCAGCTTATCCGGATGAAGGGGCAGGCCAAGTTTTTTTACACAGTTAAACACAGGTTTGAAGGTTGTTGTGGCAGACAGGGGAAGCCGGTGGGCCCAAGGTGAGGAAATCGTCCAAGTAATGACGGAGGTATGTGACATCATAATTTTGAACCAGAATCCATTCAACCAGGTCTGCAATGGCAGTAAAGATGAATGGTGCTGAACACAGCCCAAATGGGAGCACCAAATCCACAAAATATTGCCCACGCCACTTCATGCCAAGAAGGAGGCGCTCATCTGGGTGGATTGTCACATTCCGATATGCACTTGCCACATTGAACTTGGCCATTAACGTTCCTCAACCCAGAGTCATTATGCCATCAATGAAAGCATCAACTTAAACAGACTGAACTGTAAACAGGGGCCTGGGGATGCCGTCATTTATGTTTTACCCCTCTGGTGATGAGAGGTCCAAAATGAGACGCCACTTCCCAGGCTGATTATTTTTGGGGATCACCCCGAAATGACTTATGTGCAAAGACGGAAGCGGCGGCACTGGAAAAGGAGCTGCCTCCCTACTGGAAGAGACTTCATTTTGCAAGTAGGAGTCAATCACTGATGGGTCACGGAGGGGTTGAATCCTATCCAAAATCCATCCTGTATGCCAGAAATCACATAAACTACAGCTGATTTGTCAGGATGATGGTGCAACTCTGCTTGAAATTGATCCAGCTGTAATGGTGAGACCTTAGAAACTGGAGATAACAGGGGAAAAGAGACAACTGTAATGCTGGGCTTAACTGGACCTGAAGCTGACCTGAAACTGGAACTGAAACTGGAACGGGACAGAACAATTTTGCCAGCTGAGGCAGTCCATTCTGCTGGCTAGGCAACGCAATCAATTTATTTAACCTATGTACAGACACAACACTGGGCATACCTCATTTGTCAGTACTGTCCCCTTCTCCCCCCAGGGGAGGGGAAGCGGGAACGAAGTCTAGCTGAGCAGGGAAAGGGGCAGTTAGCCTTGGTACGCTCTCCCTCGCAGTTGCTGCATTTGTGGCAGAACCTACACCTCCCAAACGGCCACCGGCATTGCCCTTTATTCCAGGAATGGCAGAATGGTGTACATAGCTAGGCGGGAGTCCAGGTTGCCTGAGGAAGACTGAGGAAACCCAGAAAGAGAGGACGGCTTTGGTTGCAGTAAGGACAATGTTGGTAAACGCAGATGAAAATTATACTGATCCAAATTCATTTTGGACCAATCATTAAGGCCCAAGGCAGCGGCATCCCTTCTGAAGGCCAGATTGTATTCAAGCCAAGCCAGACCTGGATATTGATGGGCTGTTTGAATAATGTGGAGCTTATACTTCGTCAGTTCTAACCAACGCAGGGGATAGGAGGCACACAGGACCAGCTGGAAAATTGGGAAGGCCTCGGTCCAGGGAAGAATATCTTTAATTTCAACTTGCCTGCGTTTGGCGTGTGACACGAGGAGTTTACCCTCCAGCATGAAGATTTATCGTAAGCAGATCCACCAACTCCCCAAACTGGCCCTCTATGAATCTTCTCAGCCAATTTAGCTGGGATTGGTGCATGGCCCGAACCGACAATAAAAGCCTTCTCAGACTTGGGCACTGATGCAGAATTACCAAAGCTTGGCAGGCTACTGGCTACACTGGTACTGGTGAAGGGAGTGGTGATAGGGGCCACGAAGTGGGCCGAGCTCGAGTCAGTGATGGTCAACATGGGAGAAAAAGTAGGAACAAAAGCATGCAAAGTAAACGTACCTGACAACGCCCCAGAAGCCACAGACAAAACGTTGACATCATAAGAAACAGCAGTTGATCCGGAGGAGCTAGATGGAGCAACGCCAACAGAAGTACCAGGGACAGAGAAATTTAATGGTGAGGGGGCGTTCCCTTGAATTGAAGAGATAATGGTAGGAAGGGTGCTTCCAAGTACGTGAACAACAGCCTCCGTGATTGAATCGACAGCTAAAGGCGCCAGAGGGCCAGAGGGAGCCGTTGAAACCACCATCAGCACGGGAGACAACAGAGGTAACAACAACGAACACACTGCAAGTACGTGGGATGACAATGCACATACTAACCAAGAATACTGGTGGACAATGTCAGCCCCAGAGCTCCCACAGCCATATGACTGCTGCAAATGCTACAGAATGCACCAAATGCTTAACAAACGCTAACAGATGGCCAAGACATTAACAAACACCTACAAAAGAACACTAATGACCAGACTAGCTCCTGGTTGTAAACTATGTAAAATTCATTAAACTATATCAAACACTACAGAACACACCAAACCCTAAACAAATGCTAGCAGACGGCGAAGACACTAACAACTGCCTACAAAAACGCGACTGATCAGACTAGCACCTAGTCGTTAACTATGTTAAATTCCATTTAACTATATTTAAAAATATGTTGTTACTGGCATAAAATCTATAAAAGGATGTTCTGGTTGCTGCTGTCACAACCTTCTTCAGTTAACAAAAAAACGTAAAATAACTTACAAATTGATCTTGAATGTGTTGAAGTAGTTGACTGAATGAAGTAGTGGACTCTTCCTTGAAGTGTGGCATTCCATCCGAGATAATAACTCTTCCATGATCAATAAAATTAAAAAATTCTTAAGTATTACACAATATTATTATGCTTACCTATTGTTTTCACTCATTTTGAATTCCAACCCCCTTTCCATAGAAATGATATCTAACCTTCATTATGAAAACATTAATTACTAAAAGGTCATGCTTTTCATTGCTCTGACACAGCTTTATTGTCAGTGGTACTAATTCAGTGTTAAAAAATAGCGAATTAAGTCCTTCAACTAGTAAAAGAAAATCTGTGTTGTAAGTGATGTAAGTGACATAATTTAATAGTAATAATGATGATAATAATAATAGTACAAATGAATATGTGAAAGATCATATAATTGAACTGTAGAGAAAGATATGAAGACATGATTGATCATCGCAGTTATGCACACAACTTAAGTAGTTGTGAAATTAAAGTCTGAAAAAGAATTCAGGCCTGAACAGGATTTGAACCCATGACCTGTGTGGCTCTACAAACTGAGCTACCAAGCCATCTGGGAGCTGGTCACATCGTGAGTTCATAATATACCTGTAGGTGATGACAAATACACATGAATATATGAAAGATCATATATTTGAACTGTGGAGAAAGATATGAAGACATGATTGATCATTGCAGTTATGCAAACAACTTAAGTAGTTGTGAAATTAAAGCCTGAAAAAAATTCAGGCTTTAATTTCACAACTACCTAAGTTGTGTGCATAACTGTGATGATCAATCATGTCTTCAAATAACAATAATAATGATAATAATAATAGTAATAATAATACTAATAATAATAACAATAATGATAATAATAATAATAGGTGGGAGGTGCGGTGGCCCCATGGTTAGTGCACTTGGCTGGGGACATCGTGTTGTGTTCTTGGGCAAGACACTTTACTCTCACAGTGCCATTCTCCACCCAGGTGTATAAAGGGTACCAGCGAACTTAATGCTGGAGGTAACCTTGCGATGGACTAGCATCCCATCCAGGGAGGAGTAGAAATGCTCCTAGTCGCTTCATGCTACAGAAGCCGGGATAAGCTCCAGCCTGATGGGTCACTTGGCTTGTATGGAGACTACACATCTCGTGTGAATGCAATAAACTAGCACCGCAAGATTATAAAGCGAGGCGTGACAGTGTGGGAAGGGCTGTTCATTGGATGAGCCTGAGAGAGTCAGTAAATCAGATGGGGTCAGGATCTTGTGGAACTAGAGTATTCAGACTAACCATGTGATAGAACATAGAAGGCCTGATCTAAGAGTGTTAGATAAAGAAAAGCAACACTGTCAGATAATATCCAGACATAGGAATTTCACGAGACTGCAGGGTGAAACTGAATGAAAGACGGAAGGTCTATAGAGAAGTATCAAAAGCTTGCTAGGGAGCTGAAGAAGATCTGGAAAGTAAAATCTGAAATAATACCTGTTGGGATTGGTCACTTGTGCACTGAGGACAGTTCCAAAAGAATTAAGAAATTGGACAAGATTGTAGTGAAACTTTCTGTGGAACTAGTTCAGAAAACAGCTCTTCTTGGAATGGCAAAGATTCTCTGAAAAGTACTTGATTTCTAAAGACACAGGAGGTGTCTCAAGTAAAGAGTTAAAAGACCACCAGCACCATTTGCTGAGATGCTCATTTACATAAGTAATCATAACAATAGTAATAATAATGATGATAATAATGGTGATGATGGTGGTGATGATGGCGATGGCGATTGTGATGGTGTTGGTGATGGTGATTTTTTTTATTTGCTCAAACAATTACAACAATTACAATTAAACTTACATTGGCATACAATATGACAGACACTATAGACACTATACAAGTACACTAATTACAAGACAATAATTATTACTAAAAACAATAGAAAGTTACACTTGTTGAGGCATGCTATGGTCTTGGAGTACAGTATAATTATAAATAATTACAATATTCACTTAGCGAAATTTACCATAGATTTCTATATTACTTCATCAGGATCTAGCTATTCAATTTCCGCTATTTTTGATTTTCCATTGATTATTTAGTTTTTGTTTGAATTGATCACCAAGTGGGAATTTTTCCATCATTTTACAGTCATAGATATACTTTTTCATTGGTGTTATGAAAATTTGGAATTTCCACCTCATTAGATGCTGTGATCCTATGGGTAGTGTAAAATCATTGAAAAGGATCTGCTGCTTAGTCATATTAAATTGTGATTTCTGTTCATTGTTGAACCATATCATCATTTTATAGTAAAAGTCCTCAGTGATAGAGCAAGCCAGGAATGTGTGTTCAAGGGAATCTGGACTTTTGCAAAAAAAACATTCATCATCTGGTTTAATTTTGTATCTTTTAAGTTCCTTTTTGGTTACTAGTATCCTTTGAAGTAGTTTGAAAGAGAATTGTCTTAATTTATTGTCTGCCGACATTTTTGAGATGTTCTTAAATAAGTTATTCCATTTGTTGGCAAGGGGGGGGGGGGGTAATGTTTGGACCATGATTGAACTGATGTTGGTTGTGTTTCCCATTTCACTTGGAAGAGTGAGTAATAATCCTTGCACCGCCTTTTAGGCAAATGGATGGTTTTTCCTTCAGTGAGCTGGTATACATCAGTTTCTTCTGTGATTGTTTCTAGAGGTTTTTTAATAGTCATAGCTTTTAATTTAAGACTTTTAGGAATTGCAGAGAGAATTTGGCAATAATAAATGAAATTGACTTCAATGTTGTATTTGGTCTTGAATTCTTTATAAGATAGATAATTGCCAGCATTCTTAAGAAGATCTTTTACAAAATATACCCCACGCCCGCTCCAGGTTTTCCAATACAAAGATTTTCCTTCAATAGTGACATCTTTGTTGTTCCATATAATAAAGTCACCTTTGAAGCAGTAATCCCTATATTGGTCTCGCAATTCACTAAAGTAATCTAGAAGTTCTGAATTAAAGGGGGAAATATCGTTGTCTAATTTTTTGTGTTATAGTTGCATTTCAAGATAAATGGTGATCCTCCATATCTATTGAAGTAAGCACTGGGAATTGCTTTCAAAGCATCATTGGATTCACCTAGTAACCTGCCTATCCAGCTTAATCGAACTGCCTGTTCTAAATTTTAACATTTGGAAAGTTTAGACCTCCACACGGTCTTTGATACAGTACAGTTGTTTTTATTTTGTCCTCTTTGTTTCACCAAAGAAAGCTGAAGAGCTTTTCTTGTACTCATTTAATAACTTCCTCTGGAACACATAGCACTGAGGCTGGGTATACTATTTGAGAAATCCCGGATGCTTTTACCAATAAAGTTTGTCCCATAAGGGTGAGGTCCCGAGACAGCCAAACATTTAGTTTTGTTTCCATTTGTTGAATTTTGATGAAAAAGTTTTGGTCGTTATTCTTATTACGATTGTACGAAATATGGATTCCTACTGTTTTAGTTCATTAGTTATGTCTATTGCTAAGGGTTTAGTCTTAGTTTAGTTTAGTTTTGATGGTGATGGCAATGGCGGTGGCGGTGGTGCTGGCGCTGATGCTTATGCTGGTGCTGGTGCTGGTAATGATGATGATGATGATGATGATGATAAAATGTAATTGAGATTGATTTTTATACCAATTTTGCATCCATGACTTAGCCACTGAGTTCCTGTATTTTGCAGGGTGATCAACCATTTCCCTAACCACTATGAACTGACAAGAAAAGATATGATGATGAAAAACATCAAGAGATATCGTAAAGAATTAGAAAAAGAAGGAAATCCTGTGGCTGAGAAAGATGAACTTGGCAGATACCTTCATCTTGGTAAATACAGAATTATGATAATGTTATATAAAATCTACAGCAAAGTTATACCAATTCAATGAAATAATGTGATCTACATCAGTTATGATTTCATGGTCAAGTGTACTTGTCAGATGAAGCTGAAACACAAAAGCAAGACAGTGTGTCTAGTTATCTGGGTCTGTTTTTTGACCTATAAGAAATTATACTTTTCGCTTTCCGTAAATAAATATCACGTGTGTTTTATGATTATGTAAGTAAAGTCAGAGCCCTTTTTCCACGCTTACATGGCCTCTTCTAAACATGAGGGGGGTTTGGAGAATGTGACAGTTATGCAAACCTGAGATGTAGTCAAAGGTTTGTATAAATTTCAAGAATTCTCGCAACCTCCCTTGTCTTTAGATGAGGCTATGTAAACACAGAAAAAGTACTCATCTATTGCTCTTATAAAACATTTTTCAAAAATAAACATGAATCTAAAACTTCACAACCTTGTTTACATACCCTGATTTAAGCACACCTATTGACCAATCAGAGTGTGCATAGTACCTGTTCTTTTATAAACAACAATGGTTTTCAGTTATGACAAAGAAAGAAATGTCCTTTGTGGCTTCTTTGAATGACCGGGAACTAGCATTGGAGTGTGGTAGTTTTTGTCTGTTGTCTTGACAGTGGGTACAATCTGCTCCCTAGGCCTTTCTTTTATTTCTCTATTGCTCAGTGGTACCTTCCTTTTTTAACTCCTTTACCACTACCATCATCAGACAAATACTGAAGAAGATAATTTTCACATGTGGCACAAAGTTCTGCAATTTCACATCCATCTACTGGTTGGACTTGCTTCTCTAGGTTTTTCTTTTCTCACTTTTTGCCAATTTTGTATTTTCTACCATGTAGTAGGTAGCTCTGTTTACCAATTTAGTTAGCAAACATATGGCTACCCATGTAAAGTGAAAGTTTAAAAAAAATATGCCTCTCTCCATTTGACTCAGTTTCCCTAAGTCTTCAAACTCTAGACGATGTATAATTTAGCGTTTCATACTGTTTTTGGCTGGGTTGCTATTTGGTTGTCTGATTTCTGTGGCTAGGGCTCAACTTTCAGGAAAAAACCTTGGAGCCAGCTAGCCCCTGAGTTTTCAGATTTAGTTGCCAGCAAAAGTATTTCAGTGAAAAGCGCAGAAAGTTAGTTGCCAGTGAAGAAAATTCAGTCGCATTGGTGACCCCAGCAGTTGCAATGTTGAGCTCTGTGGGAGACCTTCAGTGTATTACTCTGTTTTCTAAAAGTGAATATTTTTTTACAGATTTTATTCCTGTTACATTCATCTTGCCAGCAGATTATAACTTGTTTGTGGAAGAATTTAGAAAGAATCCATCCAGCACATGGATCATGAAACCAACCAACAAATGTAAGCCTAACTCTATACTTGTATCAGCAAATGTATATTCAATTAATGTTAACAGCTGATTCCATACCTCAGTCTGCAAATTATAAATGTTAGAAAATATATGCCTTGTTCCCCTATAAATGGGCAAATGTCTTATGTCAGTGGTAATGCTCGCTCAAATGACCGGTAACCAATCAGGAGCCGAATCAAGAATTCAAGATGGCAGTGCCTACGAAAGTCAGCCATGTTAGAAAACAGCCCACTAGCCTCGACGGAGGACTGGGATCGGTCTCGTGGATTTCCATGGTGACACAAATCACAACAGGGTCACGCAAAAAATGTCATGCAACTTCAAACTCGATACTTACAGTGTCCTGTGGTCCTAAATGACAGAGGTCTGTCCAGCAAGTGACCATGATGAAGACTGAGAGACTTGGGTCCGACTGCAGCTTAGATAGGGTGGTGCAAAGCATCATGAAACAATGACCTCATCGGGAACCAATCAGAATGAATTAAAGTACTTACAGTGGTTGGCTTCCCCAATCACCCTCTCTTGAGGAGAGCAGTAAACCCCGAGCATGTCGATAAGTGGGGCACTCCCGAAGGTATTTCTCGGTAGAGATGAAAAAAGGAAGGGGGTACCCCTGAAAGTCAATGATCACACAGAATTGAAAATGAAAAAACTATTTTTAATCACTGAACAAGGGGTAACAAATCCAGTAACTTACTTGTTTTCCCATGATCTCTTCCATTACAAAAACAGAAGTTAGTGCTCAACACACATCTCAGGATGTAGAGTGAAGTGACAGGTCTCGGATGACACTTATATACCTTTCTATTTGTTCCAAAGCATCCTGGGACGGTGACCTCATTTGGAAACCAATCCTAGACTTGCCCCACTCCCTTTGCGGTCGGAGGGGTAAAAATAGGGGTGAGGGGGTACTCCCCATTCCAAAGCATCGTGGGATGGTGACCTCATCGGGAACCAATCCTAGACTTGTCCCACTCCCTTCTCGGCTGAAGGGGTAAAATAGGGATGAGGGAGTACTCCCTCTTAGTCTGCTATATAAAACCTTCATACGTTTTGAAAGGGAGCAAAGTTGTTGACTTACAAAATGGAAGTTAGAAGAAGTCGAAGACTAGTAGGATTGACCCCCAAAGTAGATGAGCTCAAGGACAAATGTTTCATTTGTCAAGGCGACCTTGTCATTGACTCCTTGACTTGATGTAGTGCGAAAACTTATTGCTGTGGAAAATTTTTGCATATCGGCGATGGGGACGGCCTTATCATATTCACAATCGTAATATTGTTTCGTGGAGGACCTTGCCGTACCATGTGAATCTTTCCATCTGGTTTGAATTAATTTTTATACAAGACTCACCATCTTCGTGCAGCAAAGGCGAAACGCTACCCTATACATCCATGCCTATGTCAACTTGCTGTGGATGACCATTACTCAATCAATAAGACAGACAGTGTATGGAATGTTCAGTNCTTACTCTCGTGTCTGAGTATAGTTACACTATAGTAATGAACTGTAGACTTTACTAGTCCATTAGGGGGGTTATGTAGCCACAAGAGTTAAATTTTTTCGTTTTTGGTCGCCTTTTCTTTTTTGTTTTGTCTTTGTTGTTAAGGTTAATTTTTGGGTACCTTTTTTGGTGCAGTTTTTCAATGCAAATTAGATTTTTTCATGTCGTGTTATGTAATCATCTATTGTTTATCACGTACCCTTGTTAAATTTATTCTTTTAGTTCAAAATTTCGTTCAAAAGCGTTGTAGTTTTTTAGTTGTATTCAGTCATTGTCAGTTCCGGAGTGCCGTACAGATCTTGTAAGTAATCTCGTTTTACCTTTCTACTTTTTTGCTGTTTTTCATATTGTTGTATTTTCAGTTTATTTAAGTTTAAGTTCATATTCATTTATTTCTGTATTTGCTATTTTTTGGTTTTAAGTGAATCGTTAGAATTAAAGACGAATTTGAAACGTTCAGGAGTGTTATTTACATTAACTTTATTTACAAGTTGCAAACATAGGCATAGATATTATATAGGCATCATTTAAATTTTCGAACAACTGCAAATTTTTTAATTTTTTGAGAGTGAACGTGACCTCCAGATGCTGCGTGCGTGAAACATGATCCCTAGAGTTCTGCATGATTTCACACATGACTTATCATTAGCGGCAAGGAGTTTGTTTGTTGTTCATCACTTTTTACTAAGGGAAAAAAACAAACAAGAAAGTCAATCATTATTTCACATTTTAGTAATTTAAAGTTCTTGTTTGGACCAATAAATTATATATGGTATTCATTACAGCCGATGTTTTAAATTCTGCATGCTTTGACTCGATTTCATTTTGTGAAAAATTTGAAATTAACTTTTAACTGGTTTCCTCTGGGTCTCCAGTGCTCACAAATTTTCATTTTCACTAGCCAAAATGGCTAGTGAAGTGCAAAAACCACTAGCCAAAATGGAATTTTTACTAGTCTGTGGCTAGTTGGCTACCATTAGTCTCGAGCCCTGCCACAGATGAGAAAGCCCATTTTAAACTTGTTCACAGTGTCCCATAGTGCAGTTTTGTTTTACATGTATCCAGTGGGTGTTCAAGGAGACCTTTGATTCAGACCTTGTTGCAACCTGAACGACAAAATCATTGCTTCTTGAAGCCATATTGGTCAAGTCTTCTTGACACTTATTCCTACCATTTCAAACTCTCTGAAGATGTGTTTTGGTTCTAACTACAGAATTTTAATGTCTAGTAGAAAACCATGACACATGACGCCATGTTTGTTTTGGATGCTGCAATCAAAAAATATCTTTCTACTACCTCCTAGAATATGCAAATGCCTAAACAAAGTAAGTACTAAAAAATATCTTGTGAGTGGAAAAGAGGCAATTTCTTAGTATTTTCAAAGGGCCACTTGCCTCACCATCCCTGTGAGGAAGTTCACATGCGTCCTTGCCCACCCCTTAATGAAACTTTAAAATAATGTTGTAATTCCTTTCATTTCAAGAACTTGAAAATAGCAAATTCAGTTTTTATGGTTGAAGTCTCAAATCTATTAAAATTTAGGATTGAAATGAAAAATTTGCTGTGATTATCTTAAACTTGTGAATCTCTTTCATTCGCAAACCAAATTGCACAGTAAAGTTTGGACACTATCTTTCAACAGAGATTATAACATAGCTAGCAACGCTGTGCTCATAGAATATATAACTGTGCAACACAATCCAATGGACTGCACACTTATGTCATGAGCAAAGTTAGCATTGGGAATATTAAATTTAACAAGAATTGTTTTATGCACAGCTAATATTAAAGTATGATCAATTATTGATTCATGCCTTTATATTAGCTGTGCATCTTGGAGTTATGATTCACCTAATGGAAAGCTTGGAGAACACTCAAGAAGCAAGAGTTGTGTTGTACCTTGAGTAACTCTTAGCTTCTTTTAAGCTCTCCAAACCTCCAACATGCATTGTAACTCAGTAATGCATGCCTGAATCAATTTCTAATCAATGACTTTTTAATTGTGTAGTATTAAATCTTTTTTTCAGCTCAGAGTAACATGCAAGTTAATTTTTCTGTGTTAATTTTTCAGCCCAGGGTAAAGGTATTTTTCTTATCAATAGACTGTCACAGCTGAAGAAGTGGTCTAAAGACAGTAGAGGAACACCGTAAGTGGTCATTTTGACAGTGTATTTCAATTGAGCTGGGTTGAATAAAGGCTGGTTTCCATATAATCAAATGTTGTGATCACTGTGATGGCTATGATCACTGCAAAACAAGTTCAGGGATCACTGTGATCATATGGAAACCACTCTGCAGTGATTGCATTGATCACTGAGATAGACTTAAGTTCTAGCTTCACAGTAGTAGTGATCATAGCAATCGTATGACTTTTTCTGTGATTGTAGCAATTATTGATCATATTGAAACCAGCCCTAATGCAGGACTGGAAATAATGGCCCACCATTCCATTATGTCTGGCCTGATTGGCCGGGATTTGACCAGTTAAATTTTTAAATTTTTGTCTTCCCAGTCATATTCAACCATGTTGAAATATGAAACTTAAGTTTCAATGCTGTTACAAGTTTACTATCAATATACACAAAGCTGTATATCAGAACTTTGATATTAAATAACATGAACTAGTAGAACTGTTTGTTGACAATTTGCATATATGTAAACTTGTGGTCTCAGATTAAAAATATTATGAATTCCTTTAATTAGTAATTAGTGCAGAGTGCACTATTGGGATGGTTTAGGGGGCTGCTGTTCACTAAGGCACTAACACCATAAGGTGTGAACTTTAATGTTTTAGTGTGGTTCAGTATGTTAAACTAATTGCAGTTGTCCTTCTTGATCTAAGCAAAGCTTTCGACAGTATTGACCATCAAATACTTCTCACTAAGTTACAGGACATTGGTGCATCCAGACCTGCAATAGAATGGTTTGGAAGTTACTTAACCTCACGATACCAATTTGGGTGAATAAATACAACTCTAATCAATAAATTTTTAGAAACGGATTTCACTAAAAAAGTTAACGTTAAAAAGCAACAACATTTCGACGCCTCGGCGGTTATTTTCAAGTTGAAAAGAAATATATACAATCANTAGTGTTTTCTGTCGTAGATCTGGACCGTAATGAGGGCTGGTCAGCGACCTTTAAATTTAGGAAGGTTTTTGACAGTGGAGTCAACAAGGTGCTTGGGATATTTCAGTTTAGAGAAAACAGACTTCAGTCCTTCGCACTCCTCAGTGAAGTAGGACCATGACAAAGACAGGCGATGTGTGCGATCGAGCATAGTTGTCAATAGTCCGCGCTTGTACCTATTATCAACATGACTGTGGTAATGGAGAAGCAGACCACTGTTGTTTATATTTGGGCGCGTGTAAAAATTTTACTTTTCAACTTGAAATGACCGTCGAGCGGTCAAAACATCATTGCTTTTTTAACGTTAACTTTTTTAGTGAAATACAACTCTGTCAACCCAACTACCTGTTAGCTCTGGCATTCCACAAGGGAGCATCCTTGGCCCATTACTCTTTAACATCTATGTTAATGACCTCCCTTCTGTGCCAGAAAATTGTTCATCGCAGTGTTACGTCTACGATACCAAACTACTCATTCATTTCTGTCAACTCCACAATCAGCACGAAGCGATAGCAAAGATGAATAAGGACTTGTTAAGTATTTGGAGTTGGTGCTTTGATAATCAGCTTTTACTCAACCCAGATAAAACAAAACTAGTGATATTCGGCAGCTGGCAAATGACTGCTAAGGTTAGCGACTTTAGGCTAATTCCATTAGGGAAGGAACTCGAGCCCGTTAAGGCTGCAAGAGACCTTGGCATCACACTGGACTCTAATTTAAGATATAATGAGCATATTGTTTCCACTGTATCCTCATGCATGTCACGATTAGGCCAAGTAAATCGCATTAAGCATATTTTTGATAAACGCACCTTAATTATTATTATAAATGCCTTAGTGTTAAGTAAATTATTCTACTGCTCTTCTGTTTGGAGCAATACTACTCAAGCTAATCTGGACAAGCTCCAAGCAGTACAGAATTTGCTTGTCGCATTTTCTGCAGCGCTAAAAAATTCAATCACGTAACTCCTTTGCTAAAAGACTTGCGCTGGCTACCAATCAGACATCAACTTTATTTTGTTTTGCTGTTCTGGCTTTTAAGTGCATGACAAGTTGCGCTCCGGAGTATTTGACATCTAAGCTCATCAGAAGATCCGCCGTCTCGACAAGGAATACCAGAAACTCCCAACTTTTGAACATTCCACTCTTTCGCACTGCTAGCAGCCAAAGGACCTTTCAATATAGAGCAACCTCTTTGTGGAATGAGTTGCAGCCTGAACTCAAACTTAGCCCATCTGTGATGGATTTCAAGCTCTTACTCAGGCAAAAGCTTCTTAATGACTGCTTTATTTAATTTTATTAACTTTTATCTTCTTTTATCATGGTCACGTACTTAGTTTTTAATTTTGTAATGTAAAATTGACTCTTAAAAGCCCCGTGGGGACGAGCCAATAAAGTATGTATGTATGTATGTATGTTCGAAAAATCGCTCCCATAGGACTTTTGTGCCAAAATTGAATTTTTTGGCTGTTTGGCACTAATTTTGGGCCGAATAATAAGAATCCAATGGGGTTCAAATTTTCTGACCCCGTCTTCCCATGTTTCTGGCTACTTAAGGATTTAATTTATGCTAACTTATGCTAATTAGATGTAAAAATAAGTTTTACAAATATCTTTGCTCTTAGATTCAAGATACACGGACCAAACTTTATGCGAAGCTCGCTCTTGACAACATATGTTGTACGACTTAAATTGGTTACCGTGGCAGCCAGCGATGACGTCAGGATTAACTACCTGTTACTTTGGTGGCGGCCATCTTGGATCCTCCATCTTGGATTTTTGAACTCTCATTTTTCTATAGCAAAACAGTGCATTGTTAATAAACGTTATCTAAGGAATGATTACATGTGCTGGTCGAGCTAACAAGTGTCTTTTCAGGGCTCAAAATTACAAAAACAACCCTAAATTTTGGAGTTTTACGGCTTTTTATTTCTTCACTTAGGCCTGATATAGACAACAGTGATGGGCATAATTAAGTTTATTTTTTCCTCACGATGGCAAGTTTGTATTGGAGATTAATTGAGAAAGGCTAACGCAGAGAATAGTGAACATCTGGATAAAATGAAACACTTTATTCATATATTCGTATCTTCGTATCCTTCAGAGAGGCCCTCCATGAGTATAGTCATGAGATAGTTAACATGTATGACGACATTCGGTCCTGGTACTCTGAAAAGATGAAACCACAAGAGCGTAAAGAACAAGGACTTAGGGATCTTGCATGATTTATGATAGTAAGAGTACTTCAAGCAAGTGGACAACCTGTTACAGCTCATCTATGCTTGCTGCTCTGGGGACTGGGAAGGCTACCTGGCAGGGTTGGAACGCCTTATAAAGTACTTCTTAACACACGATCTCCTCAAATATGCTAATGCCAGTCTACCTCACACAGATAAAGGCACTTGAGCGTGAGGATCCTATGACATGGGAAGCATTGAGGTCCAGGAATTTTGTTGTAGCAAAGTCAGAGATCCTGCTCACGCGGTTGTTCACAGATCAGACACTAGAGCAGGAAATCAAGGTATTAAAGCATCACGGAGGTATAGTCGGTTTAAGTCAAGACGAAGCTGCCCTAGACTGCCTTCTTATCACGTCACCACATCTTACCAGTAAGGTAAAGCAGTATCTCAACAGCTTTCCTAAAGTATCCAAGGCTTCTGAGGTGCTATGCAGAGAAAGGTCAAAAGTGGTTTGCAGAATTCGTTGAAGATGGACTGTTGCTATCTTCTAAGCACTCCTTATGGGACACTATGAAAAAGCTGAAACTGAAGACCTTCTCAGACTCGATGGAGAAAACTAATAAAACTTTGTGTAGGGGACAAAGTCATCAAACTACACGAAGAACGGGAGTTACTCAGAAGGTCCTCATAATCCAAGGAAGTAGGCCAGAGCTTGTGCCAAGACTCGAGGAAACAATCGCTGAGTACGGATGGCAGTGGTGATGCGTTCCTTATGTTCCATCAATGGATCTCTTTATATTCCAATCAACAAAGCCATCCTGAAGCGTTTGATAGAGGAAGCCAACCCACAGCCACAACTAGAAACACCACCAGCAACAGGAAATCTCTGTCGAATACTTGTTATTGATGCTGTGGCAATCGTTCAAGGAAACTATAACAACAACAACAATAATAATAATAATAATAGAAACAATAATAGTAATATTTTGTATAACATGTTGTATTTATGATTTGTATACAGGTCTGAAAAAAAAATAAGCACTATCCTGAAGATTTCTGACCTCCAAGAATAATGTATCAAGCGTATCGAGCAAATGGTGTCTGGTTTTGATGAAAGCCGAGTAGTGTTTGATTGCTACTTGGAAAGCTCCTTGAAGAACAAGACATGCCAAAACAGATCCACAACATCTGTTGAGTTCTAGATACATCTGGAAACGAGGCTCACCTTGTCCATCAAGGAACTTCTGTCATCGTCAAAGTCTAAAAGCATGCTGGTCACTTTGTTTGCCAATGGATTATTGGCACCCTTCTCCAGCAACACAGCCATCAAGCTGGTTGTGGCTTACGATAGCAAAACCAAATGTGTCGACTGTGAAGAAGAACACGTCCACAAAGAAGCCAACATGCTGATCCCTAACCAGGTGCTGCATTCACTAGATGAGCATTTGTCACAGGAGATTTGTGTGTCCTCACCCAACAGTGACGTACTAGTCCTGCTGCTCGACTTGGTTTCCAGGGGACGTTGTGGAAACCTGAATAGCCTGAGTTATTTGACAGGCAAGGGCACAAACTACAGAGAGACTGATGTTATTCAACGAGTCCAAGCGATTGGAATATACAAGTGTCAAGGTCTGATTGGATTGCACCCCTCAACAGAACCGACTGGGGAGGGAAGTTTGTTGGTATCACAAAGAAGAGCTGGATGAAAGCTTACATGGCACTCTACCATCCTGTGATCGACTCTTTCAGAGAGCTTGGTGAGGGTCGTATCCAAAACAAGTTAGCCAACGGAGAACTGCCAACTCAAGTTAAAGACCTAGAGAAATTTGTCTGCCGGCTGCCAAGCGTACTGCAAAGCAGGACCTGCTACCCTGAACTTCGATGAGAGCTCTTTTGATCCAGGAACTTGGAAGGTGAAATGCAGCCTCCAACAGGTGCTTCCTTACTCCCACACATCACATGTGCAAACGTCTGGCCATGCGCAACAAATTCCATACAAGCAGCGGCCCAGATCTTCCTCCCATTAAAGAGAATGGCTTGAGTGGACACCAAGGAGCATTCATTCCTGTTATGCACCTGTCTCCCCCTGCAACCGAAGCTGTTGTTGAGCTTCCCAAATGTGGCTACAAGTCAGACTCCAAGGGAAGCTGCAGCTGTTTCAAGAATGGAATTCCATGCATTTCTCTTTGTAAATGCTTTGGAAAAAGCTGTACAAATCCATATACAGATGGCACACAAGTTGATGACGAGGAAGATGATGATGGTGATGCTCTTAATGTGTAAGAACTTTCATCACATTTTATCCACAAACACTTTTAACAGAACTGTTCATTAGTATCATGCATTAGTATCAGAAAGAAGACAAATAGCGCCTGTGTTGTTACTATGGAACTAACAAAAGTCAATGATATTTTTATATGACAAAACTGAAAGAGTACATGCATTTAACAAAAAAGGAAAACATAGGAAGTTCTGCACTTAACTGGACATCGCTCGTAATGGAAATCATTTGTTAGTTAAAGCTTATTTAAAATGCACTGTTTTGCTTTAGAAAAATGAGAGTTCAAAAACCCAAGATGGCGGATCCAAGATGGCCACCGCCAAAATAACAGGTAGTTAATCCTGACGTTATCACTGGCTGCCATGGTAACCAGTTTAAGTCATATGACATACATCATCAAGAGCAAGCTTCGTATAAAGTTTGGTCCGTGTATCTTGAATCTAAACTTATTTTTACATCGAATTAGCATAAATTAGCATAAATTACATCCTTAAGTAGCCAGAAATATGGGAAGATAGGGTCAGAAAATTTGAATCCCATCAGATTCTTATTATTTGGCCCAAAATTAGTGTGAAACAGTGAAAAAATCAATTTTGGCATGAAAGTGCTACGGGATTACATGCCGTACCGCACTATTTGTTTAATTAATTAATTTCAATTAATCAATTAGCTTTGCAGGATGGAGGGCTAGGTGGGGTAGGTATCTGTGTGCATTACGTAAAACATGTCATACTTACGTTCATTGTTTTTTTTGAAAACATGACAAAACCGTATATACATGTATGTTTTCGCAAATCTCTTGCTATCCTTGTGGTGCCATTCTCTTAAGAACAAAAGCAATTTGTTAGAAAAGCATGCGCAAGTAAGGTAGCGTCAGTTTCGACTACATGTTAGGTGAAAGATTCATTTCATACGGGATCACACAAATTTGGAGTGCTTTTCCTTTTGATAGAACACAACATGTAAGATGCATGCATTTTAGCATTGCTAGTGTGAAAATCTCCGTTTTCAAGTTCAGATCTGCGTGTTTTTTCAAGTGATGCCACACTCTTGTTTTGACTGGGTATAGCAGCTATATTTCAGGTAAGGTCAGTTCTCCCTTTTTTAGTGCAAAGAACACCACTGTGACTGTGTATCTTCTTAGGTTCAAATAAAGAACGGAAACATATTGCTTCTCCATAGTGGCTTGTTTATTTCCTCTTCTACGAAGGGAGCAAAAAGTTCATATTCAGCCAAAACTTTCCTGCATTAGTTAAATGTAAAACTAGTAAATTTGTGACAAAAAACTTCACAATTATTGCCGCAGACTCCATGTCACTTACTGAAACTGCCAATTAATTTCATCAGTCTTTGAGGTGACTCGCTCACTGATGTAGGATATAATTTTGACAAAGTAACGATCTCTACCTTCAGTACTTCTTATTGAAATGCTCCTCAGTTTTGTCAATTTATAGCATTATATATAAGTTTGACCTGAATAAGAACACACTATTCTGTGACTGGACACCACTATTCGATACTAAGATTAGTTCTTGTTTATTGGTGAAAAGAAAATTTGCATTTTGAATAAAACAAAGTCATTCCTCTTTGTTTTTACATCAGATGTTTAACTTTATTCCATTTATCTTCAGCAGTAAGTAAAAAATGTCCATCTTTCTTATGGTTTTAAGGAAACAAGTCTAGGGTATCATGTTGCATACCTTAACGTTGGCGTGAAAAATAAAATTGTCACATTTGCCACTTCTGCGTATTATTGAATTTAAAGTGACTGAAACTCAGCGTAAAACACCACCATAAAATTCAAAGCAGTCTTGACAAACCTGAAACATACACAGTGATAAGATTACATCTCATCGCATGTTTCTCCGCTCATATTTTGCAAGGGGAAAAGGCCTAGTTGACTACCAAGGGAGAGAATGGTGGGAGTGAGGACCTATGTCTTAACTGTATCGGAGCCATAAATTGCACTCTGCACTATCTGAGATTGCCTCACTAGTTTTCAAGATGATGTCCATTTCTTCCTAAATGATTACTCCGGTAATTGTATTCCACTCGGTCTGTTATTACTTGTACATTATTTACTCTTGGATTAAAGGCACTTTCTGTCTTTGTGGTAGCTAGCTAAGGTTGACTCTGGAAAAGAAATATCCTGTAATCTTGTAGGTGCCTGGAAACCCTAAAAAGTGTCCATGCCTACCTTGCTGTAAAATTACCATTTATAATTAATGATAAACATTATTATTTATAATTCTTACAAAAAGTGTTCATGGTAGCTGTTCTGAGGATACAGATAATTTATGTAGGATGAAATGTTTCAGTTTAAGAACCCAGTGGTAATAATTTATGTCCTGATGACTTGATGTGATTTTATTGTAGACTTGTTCACCCTGGTGGTAAAGATGCCTATGTAATATCAAGGTACATTGATAATCCTTTGCTTATTGGTGGCAAAAAGTTTGATCTACGTATTTATGTTCTGGTGACGTCCTATCGGCCTCTAAAGTGCTATTTGTAAGTTATCTCCTTTTTGTATTTTTTAGTTACCATTAATTTTTTCTCACAAATGATGAATATTATGTGAACTGTAGATAGGGAATAACTTGTCAAGAAACCAACAAATAAATTGCATACAAATAAAATAATAATAAATAACACTTAGTTGAGCTTCCATAAGAATATCAAGAAATTTGTTTGGCACAAAAATCTTTTACCTCTTCACCTTTTTGATATATGTGTCAGCCAATATTTGTGGTAATCAGTTAACAGGCATTAAGCTCCTTCAAAATACACCCCTTCTCGTATGCCAGTTCACACAAAAGACAATACTTCAGTCTGTAAATTACCTTACTACCTAGGCTGTTTCTCAATAGTAGCTCATGAGATCATGTTAATCATTTTTGTAAGGATATTGACATCAAGTTAGTGTTTACCTCATTCAAATGAAGAAATTTTCTTGTGCACGCTGTAATGCTGGGTATGCATCTGCAAAACTTGTCAACCTTTTTTTACATTCATCCATGTACACCACCTCTTTTGTCTCTGGGCCCTGGGAGTCTTATGGCCAAAACAGACTTGATATCTGCCTTTCGCCTTATGCCAATCCACCCTGAGGACTGGAACTTCTTGGGCATATACTGGCAATTTCAGTACTACACAGATCTTTACCTTCCATTTGGGCTTCACAGTGCCCCTTTCCTTTTTAACCAAATTTCTGATGCTTTGGAATGGATTCTTACCCACAACTATGGCCTCTACCATGTTATTCACATTTTGGATGATTTCTTCATAGCTCAGCTTACAAAAATTGATTGCCTAGGGAGCTTTACTACCCATTTTAAGGTGTTTATGTCCCTTCAGGTTCCCACCATCGCCTCTAAGACCATGGTGCCCTTACAAATCGTAGAGTTCATGGGCACTGTACTAGGCAGTAACCATATCAAAGCACGATTGCCTGAGGACAAGCTTGCCAAGATACGGCAATTATTGGACTCTTTTACCAACTACTGTTCTGCCCCCCTTGTATATCTCCAGTCCCTTATCAGCACTCTGCAATTCACCTGCAAAGTAGTAGTCCCGGGTAGAACCTTCCTTCAGCGCATAATAAATCTCACCCGCAGGGTAAAGGATCATTTTCATCATATCCGTTTGAACAAGGAGTTTTCCAGGGATCTTCAAATGTGGAAAGTATTTCTTGTTCAATGGAACGGGCGTTCTTGTTTCCTTGATTCCTGGGTCACCTCTTCCCCTGACCTGCAGCTATATACTGATACAGCTAGACATACAATTGGGTTTGGAGGCTTTTTCAATGGTAAATGGTTCCAGGGCAGGTGGCCCCCTCATTTACTCATTAACAAGCCCAAAGGGATAAGTATTGAATGGCAAGAACTCTTCCCTATTGTTCTTGCTTGGCACTGTGGACCCCCCCCCCCTTTTCTGGCAAACCCCTTCAGTTCTGGTGTGACAACCAGAGCATTGTTGCCATCATTAACTCAAATGCAAATTACACAAGCTGCTGTCTGTTTACACAATTATTTAAGACAGACAGAACCCGCCATATATTGTCCAACAGGCTTTGTGGATAGCTTTGATAGTTCGGGTAATATCCTACTACTACTACTAGTATTACTTCGGCAGATGGCAACATAAGCGCTATGCAAGATTTACCACCTCCGAGGGGCAGTAGATATGCAAATTCTGCATTGGAAACTAGAGAGGCTTTGAAGTCTTATCTTAACTCTGACCAGGGGGCAGTTTCATGGCAGTGGGACTATGTGCAGAGTAGAGGGCCTATCCGGTAACATGATAATAGACAGCAATAATTGTCTTGAACAATATGTAACACTTGTATTTTTCCAACTATAAACAAGCAGGGTCAACCTGCATGTGAAAGAGTTTCCAAATAATTGACCTTGAAATGTCAATGAATATATTATATTTGTAACTTTTAGTACAAAAGTTCTATTTTCGATTGATAGAACTGTTATGAAGAAAATGGGGATTTGTTTATAAACAGTTGTTGTAAAATAGTAATCCCCTTGGCGTGTCTTCATTGTAATTAAAGTCCCAGGGACTGTAAGGACTTATTTCTGAAACTCATTATTGCACAGCTCGTAAAGGAAAATATGTAGATTAACTTCAGATGTGTTTAAATGCACTTCACAGTTTTAAACTTAATCAACATGTTAATTTCCATTGAGGTCATCAAGAAATCCCATGTGTGGCTGATTGGTTTGACTTTGATAGAAGAGATGGCCAGGCCTAAGGACAGGCTCTTCTTCAGACTCTGCCAGAACATTAGGAACCTGATGAGCCCTTTTCAATGACTGATTCCTGCCACTGTTTTTTTGGGAGCTGTGCATTTGGTGACTAGAGTAAGGCACAGAACTTGTAATGTATGGTGCAGACATAGAGGGTGTAGAGAATGATGCTAACACTTCTTGGTATAAAATGTTATATATACTTGCATTTAACCCTCCCTTTCTGTTCTGGTGCTATCTGGTGGAGTTGTGGAGCAATTAGAGCACCAAAAAGCTCATCTTCATCTTTTAAACTTGAGGTGGTTGTTTGCTTCTTCCCAATCTGCCCAAGGGCTGCACCTATGGATTGCAAGACTTCTACTGCTGCAGTTGAAACATCCTGGTTCATTCTTGCTTTAGCTTTGGAATGCAGCTTGCTCTTTTTATGTGGTCTAAAATTATTAGATGACAGATCATCACTGACATATGAAGACACTTTGCCTTTTTCTCTTATGTCAGATATGTTTTCCTTTTCTGGGGATGTATCATCTTGATTTGTTGGTTCATCGACCTCTGACTCCTCATTTTCTGAATTAACTGTAATAGAGTTACTAGTTGTTTTCCTTGGCTTATAAAACAGATCAAGCCATGCTATGTAGGGGAACATATCTCCAGCTTCATCCTTTACTTTTGAAACACCATCCGATCCACTGCCACTAACTTTGGCCTGTTTTAATTTCTTTTGATCCCGGCTATATCTCATTCATAAATTTGTAAACATTGATTTTGCCCCTGCCCCTGAAAACAAACAAAAACAAGTTAACAAGGGCGCATTCATAATATATATCTAGTGGGGGGCTATAATTTTTCCGGTGCATTTTTGGGAGGCCAACTCCCCACGTGTGATATCCTGCAAACAAAGGTTATTTATCAAGGTGGTCTAAAAGCTAAACATTGTACTCTGCATGTAACTCATTATGTCCTAATTTTCACTTGAGTGAAAAAATCAATGGTGGCCATTTTTAATATGGTCACGGCCATCCATTATTTTAAAACTATCCAACATGATGCCTGTTGAAATGAGTATTATATCCTGCTACAGACAAAATATTCTAGCTCATCCCATATCCAGCCATTAAAATTTCTTGTATTCTCGTATTCCACATCTCGCTCCATTTTAACTCCCATCCCGCACTCTGCCAAACATAGCTTTCTTTTTTTTTCTCAGGTAACCTCTCAGCAGACACAATACTACAGTAACAAATACCCAAATGGAAAAACCCAAGAAAACTGCAGCCATACAACAGCATGATCCTGACTAACGAAAACATCAAACAAATGAAACTGTATTCACTACTGCAATACACGCCGGTCTGAAGTCCTACTTGTTTAGCGACATCCTCCCATGCTAGCCTTTTTTTGCTGTTGTCTTTGAAGTCCCTGCAGGACTTGTCATAAAGAACAGGGAACTGTCTCACAGCCTCTGCCAGTTTTTCCTCTAGAGCCGCCAGTTTTTTTTCTTGCTCTAAGTTTGAAAGGGACTGGTAATGTGTTTTTTGATTGGCTGATAATTACGCTTCCACTTCCGATTCCGTTCACCTTGTTCTCACTGGATCGGAAGTGACGGAAGCAGAAGCAGAAACGGAAGAAAAAGAAACTCTTCTGATCCTTCTGACTCTGATTCTGTCGAGCTTCCGACTCCGCTTCCGATTCCACTTTTTGATTTATACTGGATCGTAACGCTCCTTGCGCTTCTGATTCCGACTCCGCTTCCAATTCCATTGCTAGTGTGAACCAGCCCATTACATGATTTTTACTAACAGTAACTATGTCCCTTTCTAACTCACTAATAACTAATAAGGTCTTCAAAAAGCTTGATGGAACTTTGTAAATGCATTTCAGGTACAAACTAGGATTCTGCAGATTTTGTACAGTCCAATACAATGCAAGTCTTAATGAACTAGACAACATGTTTGTCCATCTCACAAATGTGGCTATCCAAAAGTATGGGGTAGGTTAATTTCAAATATAGTAAGGAGTGCTAAGTGCTAAGCTCGTATTTATTCAATTCTTCTTTAATCTTTTAAAGGAGGAGTATAATCCAATTCATGGAGGCAAATGGACTGTTAAAAATTTACAATTTTATCTTGAAGGAACCAGAGGCAAAGAGGTACTAAGTAATGCAGTCTGCTTCACATTGTTGTATACTGTTTACTGTGTAAAATGCTTCAGAAAGTTTTCCAATACCTGTTGTTTGAATTATCTATTCAAATTCTAGGAAGTGTGAAGGGCAGAGTAGGCAGCATTATATATATATGCTACATGTACACTTGTGTTGTGTTAATATTTGGTAAAGGAAATGGAACTCAGGAGCAAGTTGTCAAAAACTCAATCAAGTCTGCTTGCAGTGGAAACCCCCCCCCCCCCCCACCTCCCTAGTCCCACAAACGTATTTTCAGCTCACAAATTGCAGGTTATCGTGATCACTCACTTGGTCAGTCAATTCCCATAAACTTTTTTCTCTAACTGAATTCCTTTAGGACATGCACAATTTATTTGTTTCAAGAAATAACAAAGCAATTTATTATTTAGCAGTTCCCATTTCCTCAGAGAAAGACAAACAAGGAAGTTCATTTGTCATTTGGCCTTTCAAATAAATTAAAGTGACATCATGCAAATTGGTAAAAGAACAGTGATCAGCCAATATGCTTAACAAAACTGATCAAAATTCTAATTTTAAACAAACAAAAGATCAGGGAAACTGATCAATTTTTTTTTCTGTGGCTGAAATCAAGAAATAATTAAAGTTAAATTTAATGTTTTGCAGTTTCTTGGACTCAGTCCAAACAGCTGTTTCTAATTTGAGATTTAGTACATCAATGTTTAAAGTAGCATTATCTTGGGAACTGAAATCTTGCCTTACCATTTTGTTGTTGTTCTTGTTTTTTCCTCATTGCATTACTGTAACATTTTTTACCGTTCAGGTGACAGACAAATTGTTTGATGATATCAACTGGTGCATTGTCCACTCCCTCAAGGCTGTTCAGGTACCATCAGTTTTATGTAGTTTTGCTTGGCCTATCATTCTGAACACAAAGTAACTGATTGGTTAAAGACAGGTCATCAGTCATGGAGGCTTGCAACAGTTTCCAGCACTTTTCTAACAGCTATACCTTCAAGGATGAATACTACCACTATACTACCATAATAATGGTATCACACAAATGTCCAATCATTGGTAAACAAGTTGCAGTCATGCATTTTATGTGGCAGGTTACCATAGCAACAATACAACCTGTTAAAAGCACCCTTAATTTTAGTTCAAGCACTTAGAACTCCAAAACAAGCTCAGTAACCCCCATGTTCAACTCATTCATGCATGCATGGGCAATGAATGAGTTTTAGCAATGGGGGCCTTCATCCGGGAATCTGCATGGACTTTAAATCAGTGTAGACTTTTAAATTGGCCTAGACTTTTTAATCGGCATAGATGGAAATTAAATGTTGATTTATTTATGCTGATGTTAACCGGAAATAATGGTGCGAGTAGAAAGTAAGTGAAGAGAGTGGACTAGGGCTTGAACCTCAGCCAGACTTCAGTCACTGGATTTCAAGGCAAACTCATTATCCACTTGGCCATCTCAACTTTCCCGCATTGGCAGGTGCAAAGAAATGCTCTATATAGCTGGGGTGTTACACAGGCCATCTGAAAATGCCATGTCACCGGTTGTTATTACAGATGTTGTCCTGAAAATCAGATGGGATGTCCACTGTATACTGTATTAGTTGTTGATATACAGAGTGAATTTGGTTGGAAATATTGAAAATTTTAGAATTTGTGGGGCACAAACTAGTTGCGAGATATTCCTTCATTACGGTCATTACAGGCTCAATGAGTGTAAGCTCCTCAGCTCAAGGCAGCAATTGTGGATTTTGACTTCCTGCTTTTGCAATTTCTGGTGAGCAAATATTGCTTTCTTTAATTGCTTTGAATTTTCTTTCAAAAAAACATACATGTACAGCCCACACATCAAATTGAAATGACCCAGAACTAAACTAAAGCCTGTTTCAGACTTAGAGGTTTACAATCATTGCATGACAATTGCAATAAAGCTCCATTATAAAGCTATGAAATTGCTATTACCACTGAAATGCCAAATGAATACTGTTGCTTTATAATAATGGCCCTAAGTCAAATAACATCAGTAATAGATGATGTCCTGAATTTCATAAAGAGCAAACTGTACTTCCTTGCTGATTATCTTTGCTCATGTGTTACACTCGTAGGCCCGGATTGATCAGGCAAAACAAGAAATTAAGTTTAATGAATCTAACCATGAGACACAAACTGACTATCTTAAAAGCTGTGTGACATTTGGTAACCATGACTGTCACCTAAATGGGATTGAAATGCAGGTTAATAATCAATTCAATGCCTATATCTTAGATTGTTGGAAACAGAGTTGATCAGAGTTATCTACTGTGTGCTTGCTTTCTTAAGAATCCTGTCCTGCTAGGACTGGGTCAACTAAAAAGGGATGTTCCCTATTTCTACTATCTTCCAAATTATTTATGTTTTTATCTTCATCTTTTTTGTATTGAAATTCAGAGGGAGCAGTTAATGTTACATCTACTGGATTATTCCTGGCTACCCATAATAGTTATTCATTAAAAAACAATAAGTAATTGTTATAAACAATGGTACAGCCAAATGAATAATGACAATGACAACTCAAGAACTTTAATGATAAATGCTTTGAGTGCAGGGTTGATTGTCTTGGCAAACTGACTTCATCAGACAAGAAGCTTTCCTTTGAAAACCAAGCGTGCACACTTTGAACTTCATTAACAGATAACTGATGTACATGTAGCTCACCATCACAGCGTCATTAACTCACCTTAGATATTGACATAGTCATTAAGACTGTCTCATATTCATTAAAATAGAAAACATATTGGTACAAATAATACCACTACAACCTGGATTAATAGACACTGAAATGCTCTGTTGAAAAATTTCAACCACCAGAAATCAAGACTGTTAATGAACTGTCAGACTACCTAATGTCTTTGTTATGAAACTTCTTCACTGCCATTTTGGTATTATTATCAGGTTAAACCTTTGTTAAATTAGAGTTTTTTGAGTTAATGGTATATGGCCAATCTGAACAGAACTTACCATCAAGCAGTTTTGCTTACCATTTTCACAAACCGTTGACAAGCTGATTTTTCTGTGTAAATGATAAACAACCCACATTTCCAGAATGCTGTGAACAAGATATTGTGCACTTGAATATCATAACATGATAACATAAGTGGCACAAGCCTCAATAAAAACCCAAGAGACTATGTTGTTGCTTAAGTAATAATTATTATATAAAGTAAATGGTCAGTTATATCAGCGTACATGTATATTTATCTACATCCACTCAACGTTCCCACCTTGCATTCCATCAAAACAACAAAATAGGCTTAATATAATGCATGTGATATAGAATATTCAGCTTTAATTCTGTCCTGTATTTTGTGTAACATGGTACATGTATAAAACAGTTACACAAGCTTTCTCAAGGTTTACTGACAAAGTTGCACTAATCACTTGCATTTTTTTTGAATAAAATACCATACATAAACTGTAACAAGCAAACAGTGAATGAGGCTTTCACTTCATTTAGACAACACAACATTTGCTAAACAATGAACGCAAATGCTTGGCGACAAAACACGCAGAACAATGCTATATTGTCTTAATCTATTGCACAGCAAATGATTCATTTGCCAAATCATCCAATCAATTGTAAGCCTGCTGATAGCTAAGATACATGTCAGGAAGAAGCTTGATGCTTACTGATGTGCCACCAACATTAGTAAACACAATAAACACTTAAATCATTTCATGGCTAAGGGCATGAATGAGTTGGCTCATAGAGCCCTTTGATTTATTATCAGATTGTGAAAAATATGCTAAAATACAACTTACAAAGTTTAAAGTTCTGTTGAGAGGGTTCAGAGCCACCTTAAATTTTTGAAATTTAAAATTTGTTTTCAAATCACCTCTCGGTCTGATGTCTAAGTTAGTTCGAAGATAACTGCAACTCAAGTTTTCCAAGGCTTGACCGAAAGGAAATTATGGCCACAAATTCGAGTGAAGAATCGACCACACACGATCCCAACAGACAAGCTACATGTAACATGACTTGGGAAAACGAAGGAATTCGACACAAAAAATCCCTTAATCTTTGCAGAAAAAAAAGTGCAGCAAAGGCAACCATTACCAAGAAGATCAAAGAAGTTACAGAATACATTTTTTTTTGCGAAAAAATAATTCTATGAGATACATTTGCATGACTGTTATGTCATGTTTTGATGTTAACTAAGCATGAATTCAGAACATAAACAAAAGAGCAAGCTTAAATTTTGGCCTGTAAGTAGTTTTAAAGCTCTCATTTGATTTGCGTTCATGAAAGGCCTGGCACACGCTACTGGTACACAGCTAAAAATCACCCATAATTTTGGTTCTTGTGAGTTTGCTTAAAATCAGATCATGTTGATATTTGGCAAGAAGTTGACATTTGTGAATATCTTCCCATTGAAAAGGTTTGGTTCTGCCTATATGGTTGAATAAAAGAGAGTAGTTTAAAAGAGTTGTCTTAAGCAGTCCCTTTTGAACGTTTCACATAACATTTGGAGTCTTACTAGGCCCATTTTAGGATCTGTCTGTTTTTATGAAAGTTACCCAGTTTAACTTTAAAGTTACTGGTTTATGAGTACTCATTATCTTAACAATGACAGTAATCAATCGAAAAGTGAGGAAGTTAGAGCAGTTTACAGCAGGATTGTCATGTTATATCCGTCTAGATGCAGACTGAACAATGATTTGGAAGATCGTTTTTGTTTTAGTTCCTTTTGTTACAGAGAAGATAAGAAACTAATTTTTGAAATACTCACAAGTTCTGCTATGTAAAATGTGCCTAAGAAAAGCTTTCACTAAGTTGTTCCAAAATTGGAAGTGTTCAAAGACCATGCCTAAATTGTGCCAAATCATGCGTAATTGTGGCAAAGTAGTGTGTTAAAGAGCTCTAAAAGTATTCTTTAGACTAACCTGTGTGAGGTCTATAATAAAATCTTTGTTATATTTGATAATAAGCATTCTATTCAATCTCTAACCAGTTCCCGGTGTATTATAATTCTTATTTACCACTGATATTCAACAGTCATTGAACTACTTATGAGAGGTGGTAGAAGCGTTACAGTACGTTGGTGTTTTAAGGGGAGCAGGGATGGCACAGTGGTGAGAGCACTCGCCTCCCACCAATGTGTCCCAGGTTCAATTCCTGGACCCAGCATCATATGTGGGTTGAGTTTGTTGTTGGTTCTCTACTCTGCTCCAAGAGGTTTTTCTACGGGTACTCTGGTTTTCCCCTCTCCCCAAAAACCAACATTTCCAAATTCCAATTCGACCCAGGAATGCACAGGCATTTCTGAACGAGTTCTTGTGAACTCGTTGGTGCTCCATGGGTTATAAAACAAATTACATATTTACATACATATATTTACATTTACATAAGCATGTCTTCTTAAGTTGTTTAATTTAGACCAGTTGGAATATTTAACTCGCGTCTTCACAGAGAACGACTGTGTTGAAATGGTGAGGTTTAGCTCTCTCGAAGCATTGTCCGAAAGGGACCGTGAAAATGATGTAATCTTGCCACATACATCTATAGTGTCTAAGCTCATCCATCTTGAAGTAGCATAAAGTAAATATATTGTCTCAAGTGCTTGAGAATTTGCCTCAAACCTCATCTTCAGATTGTTTCTCAGTGCCTTAGATCTTCATTATGTTCGGATAATTGTTTAACTCATTTCCATCTTGAATCAAACTTTGCATAAATTAGTTTTCCATATATGGAAAATAGAACACCCACAAACATAGCCCTGCACAAGGAGGTCAATTTCTTTAAATCGCGAATTCAAAGTGCCACAGAGCACCTGCAGCAGAAGGCCCATGTAAAATTTTGATATCTGGGCTGCCACTTTTAAACTCCACGCCGCCTAAACTGTGGCTAAACTTTGCCTAAGTTGTGCCTAAACTGTCCTAAAGAGTGCCAGAAATGTGTCTTGCCTGTGCATAAACCGTGCCTTATTTGTGCCTTCTTTGATTTTACCCTGTGTTGTTGCACCAAAGCCGTGCCTTTCTCTGGAGAGCGAATTTGTGCGGACGCACAATGTTACGTTCATGTACACCAGTAGGCCGAAAATCTTCCCTCTCTCCCAAAGGGAAATTTGCTTTGGTTTGCAAAATTTCATAATTCAGGTTCTACGTCAATACTAAGTGTTGTTTGTTATTTTTAATTTGCTACCAATTAACTCAGACCACAGGGGAACTGAACCACATTATCATTTACATTGTTGTAAAATAAAATATACTGTTATTCACTAGGCCATTAACTAGCTGAACATTTTTTCTAGGTGTTTGTTTACAGACATTCTCTAGTTAAATTCGACTTCTGTTTTCATTTATTTAACCCACTAACCAGGCAATTCAAGTTCCAAAACCACGCAGCTTTCAGAAATGGCTGAAAGAGGAAGCACTTTTAATGACTTCGCTAACCATTTCTGGTTTGAAACCCTTTTACATGGAAATTTCGTTGAAAAGGGTGGAAAGAGAACTTCAGACTATCTAGACGTACCTTCGAATATATTGTCCAAGTGGCTGGTCCTGATTTGGCTTACTTTTTTGCTATGAAAACAAACATGGTCAAAAACGTGACCTAATGAGAATCTGAACACCACAGGGTGCGAGATACCATGCGACCGCAAGTGGATATATCTGTTGTCTTAACCTTGGTAACTGACCTAAACCAGCTCCGGGAGCATCATGGCAGAGGTAAGGTTAGTTGTCAAGTTTTGTATTAATGAAAACAACTTCAGATTGGCAGCTGAAGCATATTGAAAATTAACTAGACAGTGTTGGTCTGTATTTTATTAAAAACAATGGTACATGCTTGTCATGAATTAGCACCAATTAAACAAAGTTTGGATAAGGTCAAACAAGAAACCACAGCACCGCAAATGACTTTATTTCACCAAACACTGTTGCATGAAAAACACAAGCATCGCACACCAAAAGGATTGAGATCAACCCAACACCCCAATTTGGGATTTTATTCATTGCATCACCACTTTGAAAACAAAACAACAAGCTTAAATTTTGGCCTGTAGGCAATTTTAAAGCTCCCATTCGATTTTTGTTCATGAAAATCTTCTTGCTCGTCCAAAGCACAGTGGACCTGAACACTGTATCAGCAATAACATAATCATTTACATTCATGTAAAATAAATGTACTGTTATGTACCTGTGTTCCTGGGTCTGTTTGAGCCGTTTAGACGGGATTTGACTAGAAGCAAAGGCTTGGTGTGCATTTTAAATATCATCTTTTATTATATAGATGTGAGTGTTTTACTGGGAAATACGCCACTCGTAAAATTCATACAAAACCACATCTAGAACTCAGGTGGCGTATTTTCCATATCCTCACTAGTGAAGGTATTGATGATTTTACTGATATCAAGTTTGTCTCTTAAATTGTACTTAAGAGCTTCTGCCTGAGAGACCAGGGCAGACTTGGAAATGAAGGTCGGCCGATTTCACTTAAAATTGGTAAACAAAGTCGTTATGTGGACTTATGTAATATGCCAAAGTTTCAGGTTCAACAACCATTTTTTAGCCAAGTTCTGGATATCAGCCCCTCAGGGGTCCTCAGAGGCTGATTTTTAGTGTAATTTTGGCCACTTTTCATCCTCTCTTTTAGCAATGTAAAATTAATTTCAGACAAAACCAAAACCATATTTGTAACGCCCTATCCTTAGGCTTCTATNATTAATTTTGTTCTAAAGAGAATGGTACCACAAGAAGAGCAAGGGGTTACCTGAAACAAATATATAGCTTTGCGATGTTCACACCCAAGTGACGGTGATGGAACATGTTTTACGTAGAGTACACATGTACCTTTCTCACCCCACCGCCACCACTTCCTTACCTCTAGACTAATTAATTAATTTAAATTAATTAATTAAACAAACATTAAAGTTTACACCTTAGCGCCATAGGACCTTATCGCAATAGGGCCTTAGCACAATAGGGCCTTAGTGCCTTAGGGGCAGGAAGCCCCCATAACCATCCCAGTAGTGCACTCTGCACTAAAAACAATATAATATCCCACATGTGATATCAGTTATTCACACGATATAATTTTTGTCCCTTAACTGCACTTAAATTTGTTGTTGTATGATTGAAACATCTTCAGATCTTCTTCTGAAGTCTTCGGCAATCTTTGGAGATTTTCTGAAAATGTTTGGAAACGTTTGTCTGGCCTTCGGACAACTTTTGAAGAATCTTTGGAAACCTGCGGAAAATGGTCAGAAATCTTCGGAAAGATGCAAAAAATTTTGCTATGTATTATGAGAATTTTACATAATAAAAAGAAAATTACAGTCACTTTGAGACACGAAATTTCTCTTCTCATGTTGGAAAATATTTCACTCACTTTTCAACACTCAAAGAGAAATTTCGTATCTCCTTGCAGCCATGTAATATCCTCTATTTCTCTTCAATTTCAGTTATGATATCATTATTGACGATAATCTCAAGCCTTGGCTTATAGAGGTTGGTAGAAAGAAGGAACATGTACATGTACCTACCTTTTTAAACAAAATATAATAAACATATATTGAACTATATTATTTGATGAGCCCCATTAGCTCACCCTGGATTGAATGAGGTGATAAAATTAACATCTCTACCGTTAACTGCAACTTACTGAAACACAACTGGGGGTTATGTCTTCATGAGTTATAACAACTTAACAGGTCAATTTTACTTAGCTGTTTTCATTCATTGAGCATTGCAATGAGAAATTTAGTGTCATAATTTCATAAATTGGGATCTAATAAACTACCACATGGTGATTAAGCTAGTGTGGTAGTTAGGTAAGCTGCCATACAAGTGGAGAGTGCTGCATGGAGGAAGAATATCCTGAAAAGAGACTGAAAATTGCTTTCTCTTGTACCCATCAATGGCTGCCACCCACCAGAGCAAAAAAAAAATCCCTGACTTTTCACTGACCCTGCAGGATAACTATTCTGGCCATGAATCAACAAAAATAAGGATAGCTCAGATAATTTTTAAAACAAAATTGCCTTGTCCATACAAAAACATCTAATACAATAATTTGTGGCAACTTAAGATAAAATTCCCTGACTTTTCACTAACTTTGAACAGGGATTTAGAAACTCCCTGAGCTAATACAAAACTCTCTAGCTTTTCCCTGACCTTGAACAAAACCCAATTTTCCCTGACCATGGCAACCCTGCCTATGACCATGTGGACATTCGTGTAGGAAAGAATGCCTGATTGTATGTTTATTCTCCATCCCTTCTGGTATAAGCAGGTGTAGGGGCAGGTGCATTCAACTTATGAAAAATCTTCGTTTGATTTTCAGGTGAATGCTTCACCTTCACTGACTTCAACCACATCTGCTGACAGAATTATGAAATATAATCTCATACATGATACTCTTAGTATTGTGGTGCCCAATGGAGAGATTCCAGAGTAAGTCAAACCATTCTTATTGTTTCTTCATCTCTCTGAACTGAAGAAAACCAGCCTAGCTGATGATACAAGCACTCACTGAACTGGCTTGTGAAGTGCTTTTGAGTTTGTCGATGTTGGTTCAATTTCTTAAGTAAAGGGTAGTTTTAACTGACTCTACATTAAACAAGCTACAAGTCACATAACTATTAAGTCTAAATCTAAATCTAAATATTATTACATCAGCAACATCCAGAGGACATCACGCCAAATAAAAGCTTTCTCAAGTTTTAAGGTGTTAAAAACAGAGAAAAGTGAAAATGAGGGAGATTTGCAGAACCTAGTGTAGGAAGGATATTGAAATATAGATATGTGAAGGGAAGCTATGTGAAGGTAGTTAATAGTGAAACAATGTGAAGAATACACAAGACCTTACAAGTTTTTAACTTCGGTCCAAGCATTCAAAAAAGGATAAAACCTTTTACACGGATTGCTCAAGTTGCTTCATAAACAATGGTTATGCGTCTGAGTTTTTCAAACCTGAGAGGGGCGTTCGTCAAGGCTGTCCACTCTCAGGCATTTTATTTGTTCTATGTGCTGAAATTCTAGCCACTGCTATTAGAAATGATAAATCTATTCAAGGAATTAATATACATAACAAAGAATTTAAACTTTCTCAATATGCCGACGACACAACTGCCTTTGTTTCTGACTTAAAATCTGCAACTAACTTGTTCCAATTATTGTCAAACTTTCAGGAATGTTCAGGTCTAGAGATTAACAAAAGCAAAACTGAAGGATTGTGGTTAGGCGCGAACAGAAACAATACAACAGAACCCCTCGGAATAGCTTGGCCTTCCAACTCAGTACTCGCTTTAGGTATTCACTTTTCACATGATGATGAAGTTGC